CTCCTTCCCTATTACTATTTTCCCTGATTTAATCTGTTTTTTTTTTTTTTTCTTTTCTTCCTTTTATCCTGTTTTCAACCTGTTTTTTTATGTTTGGAAGATAAACCCTGAAACATTCCTGGAATTTTTTTTTTTTTAAACTGAAAATGCGAAACACTATTAATGGAGTAAGCAGGAGCACACTTGTGCTCACTCCTACATGGAGTCTAGGCTGCAACTGCAGGAGCAGAGAATCTGAGTACTATAAAACCTCTTTAATTCTCCCTCCCTGCTGGCCTGCATTTCAGGAGATACAGAACAGCACTTTCCTTCTAATATGCCCTATTTTCAAAGGCTTCCAGTTTAACCATAGTGAGATTACAAACAGATGCAATAATTGTACTGATATCAAAAGATAAAGATATAGAAGGTGTTACCAGCATTGTGATTCTGTAGCAACACAAGTGTAGCAAAACCATTACAACTTTAACTCTGTTTCATTCAGGGTCAAATCAGAGCAATTTAGCTAAACTTTTATAATTACAGCATCATGGCAATGGGACAGATAGATCCTAACCCCTGATGTGCAATCGTGAGCAGCAGCTTCCTTTTCTTCCCCTTCCCTTACCCTTTTAAAACAGCTAGGTATGCTTGTCCAAACCCTAACACACTCCACTTGAGGGAAAACTAGGTATCAAAATGCCAAGATAAAAGTAGACAACTTCTATGAGGTAAAGAAAAGAAATCTAACCTTTATGAATCTTTATGCACTACATGGCTTTAGAAGTTATTTGTATTAATTATCATTCCACTTAAACTATTTTAACTATCTAGGTTATATCACAATACCACAATACTTAAAGTCCCTCTTATTTTTAAGATTTTTTTTAGGATCATACCATATAGTCCATTACACAGTTTCCCCAAATGGAAAGACAAAGAAACAAGAATAGATTCATCTGCTTTGAAGGATTTTTCACAGAACGATTTCACTAAGGGGAGCACAGTTTGACTCCTGTCATCTGAAAGACAAAACAGATTTTCAAAGTTAGCCATTCTCATTTAAACATCTGAAACACAGCACACACATTTTCCTGATAAAAATTGTAAATAACATCTTCTAAATTGTTTGGGAATGATATTTAACAGGCAGCCTTATTTCAGGAAAGTAACTAATAAATGGAATAATAAAAGTATTAGATTTTGCCTTTTTATTTAAAGAAAATATTTCATTTTGAAATTGACCAACGTTCTTCAAGAAAATGGGCATGGAATTTAAAATGGAGGAAAGGTTCAAAACCAAAGCAAAAGGTTTAGTGTTTGATTAGATGTGTTAAGCCAAGCCAAAACATAAATAGTCAGACAAATAAAAATATATTTTTTTCCATCAAGTTAAAAATATATATTTTTATTTGAAGACCTCTGGTACCTCCCCATAGTCTAATTCTTTCCTAATACCCAATGACAATTGCAGAAATTATAAGTTAAAAGAAAAAAACAATCAAAGTCTAAAGTTGACAGCAACACTTATTTTTGGAATGAAGAGACTTTACAGTCTATTATTATACTTAATAGTACAAATGCTAACTGTTAATACTTTTGTTGATATTTTCCCCAAGCTACCATATTTACCCAAATCCAAGGTGACCTCAAATTTAAGATGACTGCCAATAATTAGATTTTATACATAGCAAGTGACGGACAAAGAAGCAGCAGGGCAGAAAGCAACTTGACCCCTGCCCCCTGTGCCTCATTCCCTCCCCCAGAGCCTACCTCTCCCTGCCACCACTACAAGGAAGCCCTAGCTCCAGCTCTGGCAATGGGGCACAGAACACATGGTGGCTCCAGGCTCAGAGACAGTTATCACAATGGCAGCTCTGGCCCCTGGCCTGAGTCAGGACCAGAACCAGAGTGACCAATCCCCTGCTGCTATGCAGTTCCCCACATACTTCCTGCAGCATCGTATGGTCTCCCCTCTGCTCCATGGCTGCAAGAACTATCCAAGATCTGGCCAGGTGGGCAGCTATACCTCCATCCCCATACTTGAATCTAAGAAAAGGATTCCCCCCACCATAATACTGAATTGGAGGGGGGGAGGGACCTCATATTGGATTTTAGTAAATGAAGTATATTATTTTCTTTATGCAGTTTTTGATACGGTTAGTATTTTGATAAGTCATCAAACTCAACAATATCTGTTCCGCACTCGAGTTCCAGAAAGGTATGGTAAAGTCAGGAAAACAGAAGTGGGAGCGGGAGCAAGAACAAGAGCTTTTGTGGAAAACGTTCAGCCTGGAATAAAAAGAAAACCCCACATCTAGAAAACTAAGAGCTCTGTAATGAACTGTGCTACTAGATCACAGACAGCATACTCAAGGATACATTTTGTCTAGTTTGTTTTTTTTTAGCTCACTTCATTTCTGTGTAGACACTACCTGCAACTCCCCATGGATGACAGAGGCAATAGAGCTAATTATATTTGCCTTAGCAACCCTAAGGCACTAACACTATGGAACATAGCTGGAGAACACTGCACTCCAATTATTCAGGTAAGACCCCTTGAGGACTGTGCCCACAGCTGCATGTTAGACAATGACTTACTTAAGACTATGGATTATTCAACCCTGAATTGAAGTAACTTAGGTGCAGAACTAGGAAGGTGTAACTGGAAGCATGTGCCCTCCCTCCCTAAAGAGCTAAACGAACTTGCAGCAACAGATGAGAAGTCTAGAATTTAGTACCTCTCACTAGAAGAAAAGTGCACTAAAGCTTGGAAAAACTGTGAGCATGTTAAATATTCTTGTCAACAACTCTTTGCTAAAACCAAACATGAACACAACACACTTACAAATATTAAGGGATATGCATATCTTTGCAAACAGGAAAATAAAAATTCACTTATGTCAATTTCCAAGCAAAGTCAACATGAGCTGCTGGTGTACAGCACTTCTATACAGTGTGTATGCATGTTCAATGTACCAATATTGGGTTTTAAAAAACATGGAGCAAGATTGTTCATAGAATCATAGAAGTAGGGTCGGAAGGGACCTTGTAGATCTTCAAGTCCGACCCCCCGCCTGGGCGAGAGAAAAAAAACTGGACTCAAATGAGTCCAGCCAGGTAGGCATCAAGCCTCTTCTTAAAGATCCCCGGGTAGGAGCCAGCACCACTTCCCTAGGAAGTTGGTTCCAGCTCCTAGCTGCCCTAACTGTGATGTTCCCTACTCCAAAAATGTATTTACTGTATTTAGCATATATCAGAATAAGAACAGGTTAAAAAATATTTAACTTTACAGGAACAGATAGAAAAAAAAAATTACCCCTGGCCTAAGCGTGCTCTCCCAACCACACCCCCCACGTGGATTCTCCCAATCAACAACAGTTTTAATTTTCACCAGAGATTCCATTCCCACAAAGGGAAAAACATCCTCTTAAGTGTGAATCAGACACTAGGCAGCTCTGCCCTGGATCTGGGGGCTGCCCTGTGCCTGGTCTTGATCTTCAGCTGAGTGTTGGGATCAGGCCCAGGCAGCCCTGAGTCCCAGTTCAGGGATCAGAATGGAGATAGCCACAGAATCCAGGGCTGCCCAGGGCCAGTGTCGATAATCAAGCAATTGTTGGCACTAGGACCAGACAACCCTGGGTCTAGTTCAACCCATGTCTGTCCCCAGCTGATGCCAACAAATCAGCTGGCTAAATTTTCAGCATGGGCTGGGACAGCCCTAGTATAGAACACAATGCACGCCACACATATGTAGCTGGCTTGCCATTTTATGATGCCACAAGTTGTCTGAATGCATGGCATGTTGTAATTTATGATGTGATAAACACATTAATCACATGGTAAATGTAATGGCTGCTAGGGACCTGACAGTCTGATGTACGTATAGACAAGAGAGAGGCAGGGAATTAAGTGTAGGGTGTCTACTGCTTTACATATTTTTAGTCTTGTAAAATAAGTTTACCACTTTGTGGGGATGAGAAACAAGGGTTCCCAAACCAGTAGAAATTATTATTTATAGAACTTACAGACACACTTCTCATTCATTAAGATACTGAATGTCATCCATGCTCACATTTTTTACATCTTTATCATATACACAAAGGTGAGAAAGGAAGAAAACTGGAAGTTTAAACGTTTCTGAAGATAAACTTAAATAAGATGGACTTATAAACCTGTTCTCAGTGTGTTCAAAACCACTGTAGAGAAAGGGGCCAAGACTTGAGCGAAAACTGAAAATCCTGGAGGTGAAGGTTAGCAAGTGACATCTTGTAAGTTCATATCACTGAGGCCCAGCTGCCTGAAGCAAGATTGTTATGGTCAACTTTGATTTTATTTTCTTCATAATGACCACAGAGATAGGAGTTTGCACTGTAGAAGGAAAGCTCTTGCTAGCTTCAGTTAGAACTCTATCATATCTGATAGGGTAAGAGGTGGTTATTTATTGATTGCCAAATCTAGATGGGTAATTAAAGAGAAGACATATTCTAAGTTTTCCACTCTCTCCTGCTTGGATTTGCCTTTGATCAGCCAATTGTCAAGACAGTGGTACACATGGATGCCCTTTCTTCTACAATGTGCTACTATCACTGTCAGGTTTTTTGTGAAGACCCTCACTAAATGGAGGCTCCAAATGCAATATGTTGTACTGATAATGCAACTTACGATGAATCTCAAATCTTTCCTGTTCAGCTGATTAATAGCTATCTGTAAAAGTATGCATTATATAGGCTGAAATTCTTGAAATTGTCTTTAGTATGATGAAATAGGATGAAGAGGGGCAACAATCACCACCCTGAATATGGAGCACCATATTTATTAGCTCAGTCTCCTCAAGTTTGAAACAGAATAAAGACCCCCTTTGTTCTTCTGAATAAAAAACCCCCTAAGCCTATAACTTGTACTCCTATGGTACTACTTTTATGACTCTGAAATGAAGCAATGAGGCCACTCCTTTTTGTGAAAAATTCAATGCAAGTCAGCTCATGTTTTAGAGCAGTATAGACCAAAAGCACAATTAAGGGTCCAGGCACTGACCTGGAGACAGCAACAGTAGGTCAGCCAGTGTGGGTTTTTATGTAAAGTCTAATTTAACAGTAGATTTGCAAAGACAGAAAAAAGAATCAACTAGTTATTTTTTTTAAGCTGAAAGTTAGCAAATGATAGAGTACGCTGGTTTGGACACTACTGATTTTTGTCTCACTACCAGAGGCAGTAAAAGGAGCTGAGGAAAACGTATGGTCACTCTGCCCTTTATGCCTATGTATAACAGCACAAAAGAAAAAGGGTATGGTCTGGCCAATGGAAACTTCCACTCCAAAGACACTAATCTTGTGTGCATGAGGCCCATGAGTTCCAACAGTTGGATTTACACCGATATATACTTGAAGGCAGAATAAACAACTGTATCGGCATCTAGTCTACCATACTGTATTTGGTCTGCCATACTGCAAACTCAAATTTTTTCAGTCTTCATCTGAAGTGTTTGAACAATCCTGTCTACATTTGACCTCCTCCTTCTTACCCAAGTTTTTCTAACTGCTCTGTTAATGCTCCTTCCAAGTCTTTTACCTTTACTTAATGCTTCTCCTTGCCAACCCTTATTCACTGAATTAGTCTTTTTATAGTACACTAAAGAATTTCCCTTACTTCATTCAAGTTCCTTCTAGAACAATTTCTTCTGTAAATGACAGTGCACTTATAACAAACGTGAAGTATGAACACACCATTTTGAGACCATTATCTGCAATACATATCCAGTGGGTACTGATTAGAGCCAGATGCTGATACCTCTACTCACAGTGAGCTGTACCGTACTCTTAAGTTCTTTCAGTGAAATCAATAGAAGCACTCAAGAAATAAATTAACCAACATGAGTAAGAGTATCTGAATATTTGCTCTTTGGAAAGGGACTCTGTAATACTCTATGATCTAAACGGAGTTGAACAGACTTATAGCATTACATAAAGAATGATAACAATCCAACATTCCTATCAAATGTAGTCATTTTGCTCAGCCAATTTATTCTCCCCAACAGTATGTTAGAGTACGCTGTTTGACAGCTGGCTCACTCCTACTTGGAAGATGAAGTACATGAAGTCTCATGAGGAACGTAACAAACAAAAATAAAGAAAATGAAAGAAATATATAATTTAAAAAAAAAAATCTTAATAGCATGGATAGACCATAGAGATGTAAAAACACAGTTGTAACCTCATTCATACATTAAAATTCAATTCTATAAGTCCAGAAAACTACAGCAAAACTGTGCGCAGCAGGTCTATCTATGAGCTTACCTGCATCAAACATTTCAAGCAAATTAACTAAAGTCTCGAATGCTGCAAGACGCACGCTGCTCCCTTCATCTCGTGCTAATTCTACTAATTCAGGAAGTACCACATTTTTTGTTAGTTCTGTCCTGAAAAGCAAGAAAAACATTAGGAAAGACGTAATACTGAACTGCATCTGTAATACTAAAGACAACCTTCCCTCAAAATATCTCTCTCCTGAAAGCTTATATTACAAAATAATCACTATTCATGACTAAGAAAATTGTATATATTATGCCATTTAAAAAAAAAAAAAAAAAAAAAATCAAACATTTTAAAATTTTACTTTGAACAGGTATTCAGGAACTTCTCAGGGCAATAAAAAAAGCACATTAAAATGAAAGTAAAGAGATCACATGACATCACCGGAGCAGATTGCTGCCCAAAGCTAGCTCTCCGTGGGAGAGATGGCACAATCCACAAACACAGCTGATCCCTGACCCCCCTAACTCCCAAAAATCATTTCCTCTGTTTGTACAATGCGTATCCCAAGTACAGGGATCAATTTGAAAAGCTGCTTCCCAGAAGAAACTCACTGGAGGATCCTTATTCAGAACAACTCACAAGGTTTGCAGAACCAAAGCTGGCTGCTGTGCAAGGAAACAGAACAGGCAAAGCAACAAAGAAGAAAGACAAAACAGCCCCTCTGACCAGAGAGGACTTTGGTGAGTTCACCTCAGAAATCAGAGCTTTAAAGTTTTCTATGGTAGCAGAGTTTAATAAAATCAAATCAGAGATAAAAGAAATTGACAGCAGGGTGACAGACCTGGAGATAAAGGTAGAGGGAAACCTGTAATCAGCCGTAAATCTTCAAAATAAAATAAAGATGAATGGAAAAAAGAAGAGAAAAGGACCTTGTAGAGAAAACTGAGATTACAGAAAATTGAGGAAGAAGAAATAGCAAACAAGAGAATTCCTAGAAACTGCAGAGAAGGGATATCCATCAGAGCATAAAGCAAGTATTCCACTCCTTCCTACAGATGAAAACAAACGGCACTGACAGATATGACAGTTTGTTGCACAATTGGCCACTGAAAGTGCTCTACAGTCATGCACTGACAGAAGTGCATGGATGCAAAGCACTTTAAAAATGCCTGATCACGTAACAATCTGAACCCCCATTACATGAGGTTTCAGGTGAACACACTCAAAAGCCCAGCTCTGCTGCTGGCGCTGTCTTCAGAATGGGAGGGGAAGAAAGGAGGGAAGTGAGTTTGGTCTAGAGTTTGCCCAGGCAGCGCTAGAAGGTGGGGCAGGTGAATTGGAGCCCCCCACCTTGGGGAGGGGACCTCCAATCCACCCAGCCCCTCCACTCCACAGCAGGCCAGGGAAACCCTAGAATGGACCTCCCTCCCCTGCCTTCCCCCCTCCCCTCTCATCCCGAGATAGCATGGGAGCTTGGAGAGAGGTGTGTGGCTAGGAGACAGATGTTGTAGACATTCAGCCTCTCTCCCTGGATCAGCTCTGAAGTGGAGCTCAATCACCTATCCTCCTGATACAACAGTGAACATCTGTCGGGTCAGGAGGGTTCGTCTAACTCATGGCACTTTGTGAAGTGCCATGAGTTAGACTGGGAAGCTGCATGTCGGTCAGCACCCAAAGGCAACACTCCTTGTAGACAGGGCACAGAGCTTACTACACTCCCTTCAATTCAAACAAAGAGACATGGCACTATGTTTACTCCATTTTGAACAAAAGCAACAGATTCTGAAGAAGATGAGAGACTTCTAATCCTACTCTGAAAGGATATAAAATAAGTGGTTCACAACTTGTTACAGGAACACTAAGGAGAAGGAACTGAGTGAAATCACAGCATCTCTCAGAGAAGCAAATTTAAGATACAGATGGGTTTTTCTTTTAAACTTATCTTTAAACATCAAGAACAGCCATATGTTTTGAAGGAGAAAAAATATTATGTTAAAATCCTTGAGAAACTAAACTTAATGGAAAGCACCCTGGAATCTCAGCCTGAGAGCAATACAGACAATGAAAAGCAACCCCATAATACTGAATGGCAAACTGTTAAAGCTCAGGAGAGTACAAGGGCAAGGAGACTCAAAGTTACAAATCTAGGGGTATTCAAGAGGACCTGAGTGAGACTGAATAATAGTATGCAGGAGAAGAAAATTAAACATGAAAGAGGAAACAGGACAAGGGAAAAAAAGAAGAGATAAAAACCCAGGAATTTTGAGACCCAAAATACATTTGGAAAATGGGAAAATTCTAATGTTAAAAGGAAAGGGTAAGAGGGTGGTGGTGGAGTATAAATAGTACAACATGGGAAGAGCCTGGGGAAGGCCTAAAATATGGCACTGTATGACTACCTCTAGAAAACAGTATCTGATGAGCTATCATACCATACTCCTCTGGAATGCAATTCAGGCATCTGAAGGAAGAGCTAGCCTAAGGGGTAGGAGATGTGGGTGACCACCCAAGGCACCATGGTCAGGGAGATTCCACACACACATATACACATTCACAGCAGTGCTCTTCACCTGCCTCACCCCAGCTGATTCCTGTCCCACACTGGAGGAGCAGTGCCCAGCCCAGCCTGCCCCCTGCCTCCAGCCTCTGCTCAGAAGGAGCCATGCCAGGCAGATGTGGGTGGGTGGCGCCTGCTCTAGTCCATTCATCTTGCTCCTGCACAGCAGCAGCGGTGCCTGCCTGCCTGGCACACTATGCCAATCCACCTCCCTGCTGGACTGTACCCCATGCCCCTGGCTGTTTTCCTCTGCCTGCAGCTGCACCACTGACTTGTGGGGGTGAGGAGGTGCCAAAACAGAAGTTTACACAGGGTGCCATTCTCCCTAAGGCCAACTCTGCTCCTGGTAAGGAGTTCAAAACTCAGGTGTGGATGGATTAAATATTCTCTTCCATCTGAGGGAGAGAGTGAATCTCCATATTTTATGAAAAGGGTAAAGGATAAAAAAAAACAAGGATCATTTGGGATCAAAAAGGGAAGGAAAACAGACTGGGTAAATACTGAGGGTGGGGAGAAAGTGAGGGAGACTAAAGGGCATTTTAAAAAATGGATAGTTTGAGGTAGAGGTGCACTGATATATCAGTTGCATATCAGATCAGCACTGATAAAAGGAAAATTAAAATTTTTAGCAACTGGCCTTTTTTGGTTGGTGTAGCTGATAATGCCACTGATAAATGCCACATGCATGCATGCAGCCGCAGCATGCACGCGGCCAGGAATGTGGCCCAGCAGCTTGGAGAGCAGCATCTGGCTGGTAAGTCTGTGAGAAGGAGAGTGGGGGAAGGAAAGGGTATGGGGGGGGGGTGCAGATCAAGGCTCCCATGGTGA